GTCTTTGGGACGGATGGGGGGGGAGGGCGGTGCGGGGTGAAGAAGAGGTGAATACCCAGAGGGCTGGCCCGTGACCTTTATTGCGCGATTCTGAGGCCGGCGCGGGCCCGCCTCGGGAGCCTGACTGTGGGAACGTCTGGCCCGGCCCTTCCTCTCTCCCCCCCCCCCCGGGGGCCTCCGGCCTGCTCTGCCCCCGGTGCGGACCTCGTCCAACTCTCCGCGGGGGCCCCGTGGGCCTGTGGCAGGGCCCGAGGGCGGGGGGGCGGGGACGAGCGGAGGGGGGCGCCTGGGGCCGCCGGGTGGGCGAGGGTTCCAGGCGTCTATTTCCGCAGCCGGCTGCGCTTCTTGCTTCGGGTTTCGATTAATTTCTGGGAGCGAATCTTGAGCATGGCGCGGGACACCACCTCGTTGTCGTCGTCCTCACTCTCCTCTTCGTCTGCAGGAGGCGGGCGGGGTGGGGGGGACACGGAGTGTGGGGACCATGAGAGACCCAGGTCCCCACCCCCAAGTTCAGATTTCCGTTGCCAGTCTTCGCCGCCCCACCCACCTCCTCCGGGGCCGGGGACCCCCTCCAGGCCCTCCCAGCCCTCCCCCCCCATACCTCCCACCCCAGGACTGACCGAAGTACTTGTCCTTGGGGCGCGTCAGGGGCAGAGGGATGCGGGTGTTGTACTGGGGCAGCTTTCCTTCCAAGCTGGCCAGGAACTAAGGGGGAGGCCCGAGAGAGGGTGAAGTTCTGGTCATCCGATGCCGAGATGTGCCCCCCCATCCCACTCCTCAGCCCCCCATCCTGCCGCGTGTCCCCCCTTGGTTCCCGGGGCCCGGCCCCGTGGCTGCACCTCGCGATCGCCGATGTGTCGCAACATCTCGGACACCACGTGGATCTCCAGCTGGCCCTGCAGTTTCAGCAGCTTCTCCTCAACGAGGCCCAGCAGGTTCGGCAGGTAGTCACCAGAGTTGGGGTCCAACACCACTCCGGAGAACCGGCTGTCCTCCTGCGGCCAGGTTCCGGGGGTCAGGGGGACAGGGATGGGACCAACACGGCGGGCTCCACCCATGGGGGGGCACTGTGGCTCCGCCCACGGGCATGCCATAGGTGGGCGTGGCTCATCCAAATGCCCCACCCATGGGCGTGGTCTGTCGTGAATGCTTTGGTTGTGGGCGTGGTCTAAAGTAAGGTTCCACCCCATGGGCGTGGCCTGTGGTAAATCTACACGCATGGGTGTGTCCTGTGTGAAGGCCACGCCCATGGGAGCAGCTCATAGGTGTGATATGCTGTTGGGGTCCAACCCACGAGCGTGGTCTGCATGACGGCTCCGCCTATGGGCGGGGCCTTCAGCACCGCCAGGCCTTTGAAGAGCTGGGACCTAGCGGCCCTCTGTAGGCGGGGACTGATTTAAGGCCACGCCTTGAGGGTGGGGCTTACAGACTCCTGCTACAAAGGGTGGGATGTGGTCTCTTGATGGGAGGTAATAACTGGAAAGGGGCCGTTATGAGGATGGCCTTCGGAAAGTTTGGTGGTTCTGGGTCTGCTCCAGGACTGGGGCAGAGTCTTCTGAGATTTGGGGTGGGGGAGAATGTGAATCTCTCCCATTGGAGGAGGAGCCTGAAGCGGCCTGGGTTTCTGAAGTCCTAGACCTCCCCCGGAGGGAGAGAAGGACCCCTGGGATGTGAGAGGGGGCGTGGGCAAAGGACCAGGGAGGGTCCTAGGTGTCCCACCGAGCGGCTGCTCCTCTGAGGACCTGGGGGCGGGCCTCCTCGGGGGCGGGGCTTACCAAAGCAATGTGGTTCAGCTTGCCCGCCAGGTGCTGGAGGCTGTCTTTGGCAATTTGTATGGTTCGCAGGGTGTTGTCCAGCTGCTCCTGTACCCCTGTTTGCCGTTGCTCCTCGTTCTTGAGGTTTTCCAGCATCTCTGAATGCAACTTCTGCTGACTGTACGGAGGACAGAGAGAGAGAGAGAGAGCGCGTGAGAGAGCAAGATACAGAGCCCACACCTCCTGCCATCTCCCTCTCCCGGGCATGGGGACCGCACCTCACCAGCTTGGCATCCCCAGAGTACTTGAGGCCTTCGAGCTCCTGCTGTAGCTGCTGCTTCTCTTGCTTCAGCTTCACTAAATCCACCTCGTTGTCCTTCTTGAGCGTCTCCAACTGGTCAAAAGTCTCACCCTGGGCCAGGAACCGCCGCACCACCGACTGCGGGCCACCCAGCCCGTCAGAACCGGGGAGTGAGGGGTCTCAGCCCCACCCCGTGGCTTTGGCTCAGCAATGTATGGGAACGGTGCAGGTCGGGTTCAAGGCTGCCTATGGCGCCGACCAGTCATTCCCCGCCCCCCCACGCCAGTCCCTTTTTGCCTATACTTGACTGAATCAGCTACAACCCACAGCTGGAGATACCAACAGTGGTCACTAGAGATGCTTCCCAAAATCAATGTGCCAACAAGTACTGGCGGTGAATGGTGCCGCATGGCCACATAAAGATGGGGCCACGGGGAGTGAGATCGGCTCACCCAACCCACTTCTGAGAAGGATGGCCATTCTGAGTCCTGGGTCTCCTGGAAAGTAACCCCACAGAGGGAGTCTGGACTGTGGGAAATGGAACTGGTGTGTGTGTGTGTGTGTGTGTGTGTGTGTGTGTGTGTGCCAGTCCTGAGGCTTGAACACAGGGCCTGGGTGCTGTCCCTTAGCTCTTTCACTCAAGGCTGGCATGTGAGCCACAGTTCAACTTCTGTATTCTGGTGGTTAATTGGAGGTAAGAGTCTCTCGGACTTTCCTGGCGATCCTCAGATCTCAGCCTCCTGAGTAAGCTGGCCTGAGCACCGGCTCCGAGGAGGGATGCCTTTGGAGAGGTTCCTACACTTGGTGGGGCTGGGAGGGGGAGGCGGGCGGGCTGAGGGCGCCACTCACGTGGGTCTCGGCCACGCCAGTGGCATCCTTGACCTTGCCGAAGATGACCTCCATCTGGTACATGCCCCAGCGCTGCTTCAGCTCCTCCTCCTGGTTGCGCAGGCTGTCCTGGAGCGTGTCCTCGGACTGCAGCAGCACGTGCTCGCGCTGCGTCTGCTCGCGGGGCGGGCCAGGGACGGGGGGGGCGGGGTCAGTCTGGCATGACCTCTGGGAACGGGGTGGGGGGGGAAGGACCCGACCGGGACTGACAGGGCGGGCAGGGCCTGTGCCTTTAGGGCTAGGTCAGAAAACCGGGGCTCAGGATAGTTCCGAGGGGGTCTCGGAGCCAGCGCAGAGGGTCAGAGTCCCGGGAAGAAAAGGGGGTCTCCGGAGAAAGGCCAGCAGAAGGCAAGGTAGTATGGAGTGTGGAGAGGGTGGAGGTCATGGCGGGCAAGGAGAGGGAAGGGGTGGTGATTACAGGCAACAGCACCAGCCCTGTAGGAGAGGCCTCGACCTCGATTTAGGGGTGGAGCCACCGTGGGGCGGGGCTAGGAGGCTCTGCAGAGCGGGGCGGGGCCAGGGAGGGGCGGGGCTAGGAAATCCTCCAGGGCTGGGAGGGGCCCTTCCTGGGCGAGGAGGGGCGGAGCCGGAGAGGGGAGGAGCTAGGAGGTCCGTCCTGGGAGGGGCGGAGCTAGAAGGCCGTTCTGGGCGGAGAGGGGCTAGAGGGCCGACCGAAGCGGGGAGGGTGGAGCCGGGAGCGTGAGTAAGAGGCCTGTCCGGAGAGGGGCGGGGCTAGAGGGCCGCCTGGGGTGCGAGGGGCGTGGCCAGGAGGCGTGTGC